CAAATTCTCAATCAAAGTTGCTAATCTCAGCTTATCTTAAAACGGTTAAGATAGTTACATTTAGAGCTCTAAGATAGTGACTTCGTTAGTTATGCATCTTGACTTATTTTTGTTGTACTTTTCTATTTTGGTTTAACCGCCGGTCGGCGTAGTTTGTGACGTCAGTGAATCGCAACTGTATTCTAAGTGAAATCAAAGGGAGTTAAACCCTTCTTAAGAGTCTGTGTAATTTCCAGGTCATAGCAGTTACTACTACTATTGCTGACAAGTTGGGGCCTCTCAACATCACACACGTAAAGTTCGTTTCAAGTAATTAATGTTCTAGGGGATCTAGAACTTATGTCCTGGGAATGTAAATATTCTAAGAGAATGAAGAAAGGCCATTGTCTAAGGTAGGGACCATTGTCTTATCAAGAAAGTATTCCACATATTAAGAAAAACTGCAGGAGATGGATTCAAAGCAGTTGGACTGCAGTGTGGAAGAGCGGCATGGTGTCTTCACTTCGCATCTCAGTTTATTTTTATTTACTGCAGTTATCACAGTGCACCTGCTACCAATTACTATGTTATTTCAATCTTTGTTATCATTTACACGCGCTGAAAAAAACGTTTACACGCACAGGCTTCTGTAAGCTGTGTATTCAGCATAAAACTTCAAAGGTGAAGCAGCTGGAGGAAAAGACGGTTATTTTTATTTATGGTACATTAAATAGCGAAAAACGTTTTCCATGCTTTAACGTAGCAAATATAAGCAGTACTTAATATTGTTAGAGAAATATCAAGTTTTATTTATATTCTAATTTAAATATTGTTCGAATTGCTTGTATGCAATTCATCCCTTAAAAGTTTGCCTCGAAGTCATTTTAATATTTGTGTATTTAGCTACATAATAAACTTCTTTAATTTTCCATGAATTTATGCATTGAAGTATCGAAACTTGTTTTGTTCTTCTTTTGAATGATTAATGTAAATACACAATCATGTCCACTAATAATCATGCAACTAGGTCTGATTTTGAAATTTAGTGTTATCCTCCACTTAGCCGTCTTTTGTTGTTTTTCTGGGTGGCGCATTCGGTCCTCTGAGGTAGTGATTGGTTATCTTAAAACAAATGTCACTATTTTATTCCAATTTTTTAATACGCCGGACTCAATTTTTTTAAACGTGAAATGTGATAAATGTATTAAATTGTTTATCTCAAAAAGAAATTTATAGCGCAGATTTCATTGCTTTGAAATCATAATAAATGCAAATGATAAAGAAATAAAAATGATAGTTTTCCTGATGAATAACTATCATTTTTTTTTTTTTCGTTCTCTGAAATTTATTAACGTGTAAAAGATGACTTACGCCCGGAGAAAAATACTGTTGTTCTCATTGTAAAATTATGAGCATTCTGACGTATCTATAATTTTATATCTTTAATTCTTAATTTCAATTAAGTTCCAGTTACCCAGGTAACATCGGTTCATATTAGGTTGAAAAACGGAATTTTAGCTGTTCTTGTATTGATACATATACAGATGATACAATCCAAAGTAAATATTGGAGTCAAAACTCTTAAAACAAAGTGTGACTCTATTCAGCATTTTATTTTCGTACACTTTTAAATATAAATTAATATTTTAACGTTGTTGGAAAAACTGTATTACAAAGAATGAACAGCATGTATGCTGAAGTGCACTTTTCACCATTCCAGCAAGAGCTGAATAGATTTTGCTGTGAATTTCACGCCAAAAACGAAACACATGTAGAGTTTATATTTATTTTAACTAACATTATTTTAAGCTATCTTCCTGTCAGCCTTTACTTTCCCCTAGAATTGCCAAGCCAGAGTATGTAAATCGTAGTAGAACGCGCAAAGTATTCAATTTTAGCAGAGTATTGACTTCAAATAGAAGGGAAGCGAGATTTTAAGTGCTTCTTGAATCACGACGTAAGGTTGCGTGGTAGAAAGTTTAAGAACCGCGCGTTTGAGCCTGTGTGCCTATTCGACAGTTCGTTGAATCTTTCAAATTCTCAATCAGAAGTTTGCTGATCTCAGCTGTCTTAGAACGCGGTTAAGATAGTTACCAATTATGAGCCTCGTAGATAGTGACTTCGTTAGTTTATGTCTCTGACATTTTTTTTTAGTTGTACTTTTATTTTGGTTTAACCGCCGGGTCGGCGTATTTTGAGCGTCAAGTATCGCAACTGTAATTTCTAAGTGAATAAAAAGGGAGTTAAACCCTTCTTAAGATCTGTGTATTTCCAGGTCATAGTTCTACTACTATTGCTGACAGTTGGGGCCTCTCAACATCACACACTAAGTTCGTTTCAAGTAATTAATGTGTCTAGGGGATCTAGAACTTATGTCCTGGGAAGTGTAAAATCAATTCTAAGAGAGAATGAAGAAAGGCCATTGTCTAAGGTAGGGACCATTGTCTTATCAAGAAAGTATTCCACATAGAAAAACTGCAGGAGATGGATTCAAAGCAGTTGGACTGCAGTGTGGAAGAGCGGCATGGTGTCTTCACTTCGCATCTTCAGTTTTATTTTTATTTTACTGCAGTTACATCACAGTGCACCTGCTACTCATATTACTATGTTAGTTCAATTCTTTGTTATCATTTACACGCGCATGCAAAAAAACGTTTACACGCACAGGCTTCTGTAAATGCTGTGTATTCAGCATAAAACTTCAAAGGTGAAGCAGCTGGAGGAAAAGACGGTTATTTTTATTTATGGTACATTAAATAGCGAAAAACGTTTTCCATGCTTTAACGTAGCAAATATAAGCAGTACTTAATATTGTTAGAGAAATATCAAGTTTTATTTATATTCTAATTTAAATATTGTTCGAATTGCTTGTATGCAATTCATCCTTAAATTTGCCTCGAGTCATTTTAATATTTGTATTTAGCTACATAATAAACTCTTTAATTTTCCATGAATTTTGCATTGAAGTATCGAACTTGTTTTGTTCTTCTTTTGAATGATTAATGTAAATACACAATCATGTCCACTAATAATCATGCAACTAGGTCTGATTTTGAAATTTAGTGTTATCCTCCACTTAGCCGTCTTTTGTTGTTTTTCTGGGTGGGGCGCATTAGCGGTCTCTGAGGGTAGTGATTGGTTATCTTAAAACAAATGTCACTATTTTATTTCCAATTTTTAGATACGCCGGACTCAATGTTATTTTTAAACGTGAAATTGTGATAAATGTATTAAATTGTTTATCATCAAAAAGAAAGAAATTTATAGCGCAGATTTCATTGCTTTGAAAATCATAATAAATGCAAATGATAAAGAAATAAAAATGATAGTTATTCCTGATGAAAAATATTGTATTTAAAGAAAAACTGAACTAAGACAGTGCAATAATTATTTGACTCAATGCCATTATAGGAAAAAAAGCACAAATTAAAATAAAATTAGTAATGAAAAACATACGCTTGAATTATTGGAGGAAACTAAGCTTATTTATTCGCCTGTCTCCATCTATCTACACACGCTGAAACACGTTTCCTATTCTTTACTGTCTTTACTTACGCATTCTGTTATGCAACCGTTATATCATCATTCTGCTGACTTAACGTGTTAAAAATATTCCCTGTTTTCGACGGGTTTGCCAAGCTACATTTTATTTTTGTAAGCAGCACGGGAAGAAGTAGAGTATGCTCTGAGGTACGTAGAATACTATCCTAAAATATGCTGTTTCAGGAAAGTGTAAAAAATGTTCACAGTCAAAATTGTAAAAATATATTTTACTTGTTAATATATTTTCCTCTGAATTTGGTCTGATTATTTTATATACGCATAACAGGAAACTTTCCGGTTTTTCATCGCATATCCCGGTCTCCTGGCAGATCACGGTGTATCTCGCATTTTTTAATTCTTACATTTGCTAAGGTTATATTTACAGATATTAATGAAATTTATTCAGGTAACGAAATTAAAATTTGCGCAAATTCGTTTTCCTCCCTTAGTGATTTTCAGTATAATGTTTCTTACTAAATTTTATTTAATCTGAATTATCTTAATCTACTTAATGGAGAAAAGATAGAGCTATGAATAAATACTCTTCCTATACTGCATAGTATCACGTACAATTTCGAAGAAGATTTTCCATTTAAATATTCCTTCTGCATATTACTTTGGTCCGAATAGCCCTTATGTATGCTACAGTTATGGTCTTGGGAAAGATAGTAATGGAGTTGTCTACATTTTTGTATTTCATTATAATGGCCTATTTTCAATTAGCGCTTGTTTTGTAAAACTTACAAACTTACAAATTACAGTGTGTATGTTTTCAGTTGTCAAGGTTGATTTTAAGTGCAGTAAGTCTTTTATAATAAAAGCAGCGGATGCAGTAGGACTTACATACTAGCGTGGAAAAAAGAAAATCATACCTCTTTCGTTACGAAGAAGGGGTTTAATTAAAATTACTTTGTTGTTGTTTATTACTGTAATTTTTAAAATGAAATTAAGAACAAATGTCAGGAAAAACTGATAGTTATACCAATCTGTATATAACGATCCAAAAATTTAAAAATGATTTTTATTTACAGTGAATTGGAATATTTATGAAAACTCTTCTTTCAAGGCTACTTTGTTATTATTATTATTTAAAAATATGAATCAAGGAAGGGGTATTGCAAAATTGATACTGTCTGTTATAAAATTACGTTAATTATGCAGATCTAATAACTGTACCATCAAATACAACTGAGAATCTGCATTTACTTACATTTAGAATGCTGCAGAGATGAAGCAACGAGCACATCATCTACATCTTCGATAAGATTCAAGGTCAATTTGAAGTCCCGTTTCTGGACCATGTTTCATGAATTTATCTGCATATATATCGCTTTATCTTATTCTTTGAAATATGCGATTCTTATTTCCTCTTCAGTATTTTGTGAGTTTGTTTATTTTTTCTGGCTGCGTGAAGGTTAGCTTTGTATGCAGCATCATTCATTTGCTTGCTTTCATGAGATGAAGATCATGTGTGTGTATGTAGCAAACGCGTTTGAATTTTACAAATATGTTATGTGAAGCATTTTGAAAAATTCTATAGAGCTTGTACGTTGTCGTGTTGAATTATTATTACACGAATGTAATAGTGTGTGCTAATTGCTAAACCATTTTGTGTATTGCTTTGGATGTAATTGAGACTATGGCTTTCGCATGAAATGCATAGGTAAGTTCGACTACTATTTTTCAATTTGCATAATGGGGCATTGCATTAAACTTTATCAGTTTTTTGTGCAGTTTCAAATCTTCTTGAAAATTTTGCTCCACAGTACCAATGTGCGTTAAACATATGCCCTGCAACGTAGATTAAACTCAATTGTATGAACGTTTATTTCTACCTGTGCCGTCGTTTTCGCACTTCCTTTTAATACATTGACGATGCAAAAATAATAATCGTAGGTAGATAGGTTAAGTGCAGAAGCCACTCAATATTTGCCACAAGTGACTGGGCAGTGACCTCATACACTGCTTGTAATCATACACAACATATCCATATGGCCGACATTCTTTCAACAAACAGATGACAACATATTCATATAGCATTCAGTGTCATAAATTAGTTATAAGAAATGCCGTTCATGGTAATCACAATGGTTCGTTGTAATTAACTCAAGCTGCAATGTTCTTGGTCTCTACCACATAGGAAATCCATAATTTTTGCAATTTTATTTCTGGTATGTTTGTTTATTATTACAAGTCTTAGAAAAGTTAAAAGTTTCCGCTGTAAGCTGTTTTTTTTTCGATATAATGAAGTTGTACATGATATGAAAAATATAGTGAAAAATCACATAAACAAAACTCTGTGGATAATTTATATTATTTTCATATAACTACATGGGAAAGGTGTTGTTGTGTCTAGTGATGAATCATGGTTTTTTTTTTTTTTTTTTTTTTTTTTTTTTTTTTTGGCAGTATTATGGAATTTTTGGTAATTGGTTGTATGCTGTTGTTTCTCTGTCGGTGGTATCTCATCATTGTTGCCATACATGTTTAGCAATTCGTAATTTTGGTTTTATGTGTGAAACTGGCCATGGAATATAAAGTTTTGTAGCAGATAAACTTTGGCCTTCTTTTTTGCCTAACTGATCAGCCTACTCATTGCCTTTGTGTCCAGTATTAGCGTTTATCAATATTCTGCAAAATGTTACCCTAGACTTTAGAAGATTTATGTCGAATTTCTTGAGTAAGTATGATTTATTGCTTGTATTAGCGATGGCGTGCATTGCAAGATAAACAGTCAGCATGGATCTACGCATTTGAGAAATACTTCGTTATGCTTTGCTCGAATACTTGAAGACTTGCGTAGATTTCTTATTGAAAAACAAACACTGTTTTCTTTGTCAGGTTTGATGTTTAAAATCTTGTGATTCAGATTGTTTTAACATATTTTAATTGCACATAATTTTCCATTGTTGATGCTAGAACCATCAGTGTATATTTTGGGGAAAACATTTTGACATTTATTGTATTTTATACGGAATGTAAAGTTATTTTTACTAACTAGATGCCTTATATAAGGGTGTACTGGCCAGGAATAGGAATTAGCAGTTATTATTTCATTATTAAATTTACAATTTTGTTCAGTTGTTAGGATTGAAGTTTTTTGTATATTCTTGATCTGCAGTTATGAATAATGGAATACTGTTTGTTATTTGGTACTTTGCAGCGTTAGAAGTTGTTCAGTATCCTTTGGAATATTTAGGAGGAAAGGTTTTTCTTTGTACAAGCTGTAGTTGGTTTTGTTTTCTTATTGTCATTGAGTGAGCCCAAGTTGCTGCACTACCACACAATACTATTTTTTCTATAACTGTACTGTAGATTAATTTTGGTATTTGGAGATTTTCCATCCAATGCCTTGGATTTTTCTTAGATTGTTCGCAATGTTCAAAGTTGTCTTTTTGAATTGTTGAAGATATTCTTTGGAATTTAGTTTATTGTCAATAATAATTTACAGATATTTGATATACTTCAATATTTTAATTCTGTTGTTGTTTGCATGGCATTTTAGTAATCTTGTTATTTTTTGGGACGACTCATGAAAAATAATACCTTGTGATTTTTCTTGTGATATTGTGAGTTTCTAAATTTTACAGAGATCATTAAATTTTTGTAAATTGACGTTGTTTTCCAAAATTAATCTTAAATGTCCATTAATTATAAACGATGTATCATCTGTACAATACATTTGTATGAAAAGGCGATTAATATTGAATTTTGTTAAGTGTGAGATTCCAAAAATCCGCACTAAGAGAAAAACCCTGTGGACATCTCCCTTTTCATATTATGCCTGTAATTTTATTATTTGCAGGAATAATTTTTTTTCCATTGGAGAAGTAGCTTTGAAATATTTCAAATATGTTCGTAGGATATTTAATTTGAATGTGGTCAGTAACTACGTCCACCTTCAAAAAGCCTTTTTGAGTTTTTTTTTTTTTTTTTTTTTCAGTCAAAGACCTTTTTGAGGTCTAAACACACTAAACACATTTAAGTTCATGGGCTTTGTTATTAGCAACTTGTTTAAGTGCTTCCTCTATTACATTTATGGTGCTTTCATTAGGTGTAAATCCAAACTGAAGTTTATTGATTTTATTCTTGACTTTTTGATGATGTCTAAGACGATTTCTTGGGGCTTTTCTAGAACTTTTCCTAGTGCGGATAGAACGTTTATTGGTCTATAATATGATGATGGATTAGAAGGATCTTGTCCTTTTTTATTGAATAAAACAATTTATCCTACTTTGAAGCATTGAAGGTATGTTCTGTATTGAAGACATTTGTTAAAGACTTCTATATTAATGGAAGAAAATGCTGATGGGCGATTTTTATCACTTGATTGTCAGTGCTGTCAGGGCAGGATGCTTTTTTAGGAGAGATATTTTTATGATTTTCATTACTTCAAGCTTAGTAAATGGAAAGTCATCTTTAGTATATGAAGCTAAATAGTCTTGCCTTTTTTGTTTCTGTTCTTCAGCAGTTTTTTTCTAAGTTATCATCTAGAAATACTGCATTCTTTTTTTTTTTCAATAGCTATTGCTCTTTGCTTTGAAAATATTTGATATGCATTATTTTTTTCATTTGTATTTTTAATGCTGTTGTTTTATTTCTTTCACTTATAAGACTTTTAGTCCACCAGTTAACTTTATAAATATTAGTAGTAGTTTTAACTTTAAACGTTGTTTCGCAATGTCTTTGAATGGGGATAAGTATTTTTGAGGCTAAATCATCTATTTCTAATTTGTTCCTTGTTTCTTGAGTTTTTATTCTGCATTTATTTCTGAAGTGACTGATGTGACAATCCACAATGACAAAATACAATGATGTATTTTAAAATATATTAAATCATGATCTGAGATTTCTTCATTTTCTAGAACTTTCCATTCTTTTAATATAGTATTATGTAAAACTTGCTGTCAATAACAAGAGTAACCAAAACTTGCTTTCAGTGATAATAACAGTAAAACCTGCTGTTTGGTTGTTCCGATTTGAACTTGATATTGGAGAGGTGTAATTATTAAGCCTTGCAACGTAAACATACGAGCCAGCAGAAATGTAATTTTATTTAATGATATTAAGAAATATTTACTTATACATTCGTGTTTTATGTAAATTAAATAAGAAATATAAAAATTTGGGATTCTAATAACCCAGATTTATTGAAATATAAATTAATAAACACTGCACCAAATATTTCTGTTTTCTTTTTTTTAATAAAAATAATAGCTGCTAATGCCGTCTGAAAAATTTAAGTTGTCACCATTTGAATAAAATTTAGGAAACATGTAAAGTAACCGTAATTTCTTGCATAGAATTAAACAGAAGGTCTATATAATGCTATTATTATTACAAAATACTTAGTTAACAAGAAGTTAAGTTGAGAAGTTATGTTTAGAGTAAAATAGATCGCGGCTTGATTTCCGTAAGGACAAATGGTGCACATGTGCCAAGCGTTCGCTTTCTAGGCAGTAGGCTCCAAATCCTTCTATGTATATTAAATACTACGCTTCAAATCCTAGTATTAATATATGTAAAATGTTAAGCATTTTTTCAAGTTTTAAAAATACAAAATTAATTATTATAATTTGTAGTTTTATCTTATAAAGTTAATGATTACAGTTACTCAGAAATAATGTATAATAAGTAACTCCATTCATTTTCATTAAAACTATAAAAACTATAAACTATTAAATAATGATTTATAGCGAATGAGATGACATGATTCATCAAACAATTCAAAACTTATGTTTTATAATAATCTGGGAAAAAATAACCACATATGGCACGCCAAATAAATAATTTCTTCCACATACGAACGAATCGCAAGTTTATTCCTATATTTTATCGTGGAATTATTGCAGTCATAAAAAAATAAATTACATGAATATGATTATATCTCAATAATTTAATTTAGTTTTGCACTAAAATCAATTAGAATGCATCCTTTTTCTTTTTTTTTCAGCCCCCTTCGGAAAAAACACGCTTTTAATTTAAAATGTATAAGCAGTTTTGTACAGTGCACACTAATCTAAACGCAGTTTATAAAAAGAAGAAAATGTTTTTTTAATAAACTTTGAACGAAAAATGTTGACCTATATAAGGTTATTTTGTGTCATACATTACACGAAATGTAATTTGCATCATAGATGTCTACTATCCTGAAAAAAAAAAGGGGGCTTCGTAACAGAATTTAGCCCCAGTTTTCAGTTTTCCAAACCGAATCTGGGATAAGACACATCATACATGGCATTAAAAACTTTTCCTGCTTATTATACTAATGATGTAACTATTAATAAGCTTTCATACAGTGGGAAAGTATCGATATGTTATTCAGAAGTTCACATCAATTTAATGTCTTTGCTTTCTAAAGTAATAAATACTGTAATAATGGGAAATAAAAGGTTTTACGCTGCGTTAATTGGAACATCTTCCTACTTTTATGTCGATAGCGAATTCCCTCGAGAAGTGTAAATAATACTACAGCTTTCTGGCATTAAAAGATTTTAAGCACATTTTTAAAAGTATTACTGATGGTGCAGCTTGAAATCTTTGAGCGTACATATGTGACTATTACCTTATACTAAAGAAGCTTAAATCTTTCCTAGTGTTAGCCAAATCTCTCTTTATCCACAATTTTCAGTCTGATTGATTCTTCGAAAGTAATCTTTCACA